GCCCCCCCCCGCTCCCTGGCCCAGCCCCATATGCTGCCCCCCCCCCCGCTCCCTGGCCCTACCCGGCTCGCGGAGGCGGAAGGCCCGCAGGAAGGCCAGGCACTCGCCCAGCCCCGCGCTCAGGGCGAAGCCCCCCCGAAAGGGGCAGCGGCGGAAGAAGAGCTCGAACTCGGCCGGCTCCCGCTGCCGCCCGGCCCGCCAGTAGCCATAGGCCATGGTGAACTGGTAGAGGTCGGTGAGCAGCGCCAGCGAGTCCCGCCGCCCCGGCTCCATCCCGGCCCCAGCCCCCGGGGAGCCTCGCCCGGGCGGGGCGGGCGCCAGCTGTAGCGCCACGTGGGGGCCGAGGGGCGCTGCAGCCAATGGGAGCCCCCTCCGCCCGCAAGGGCGCCTGGGAGTTGTAGTCCGAGCGGGGCCGCAGGACACACGGGGCAGGGGCAGCCCGCCCGTTGCCCATCACTGGGTGGCCCCACCCAGGGGCCTGGGGCCCTGATTCTGTGTAACCCTTCCCAGCTGGGCTCGGCTGCAGTGACCTCCTCCCCCAGGCCGGCTGCACGTGGATTCTGTGCCCACCCTTCTAGGGCTTGGCTCAGGGATCAGGTCCCTAAAGGTATTTGGGCTCCAAACTTCCATGGAAATCAATGGAGCCTAAAGAGGGTGACCAGGTGCCTGCTTTTCAACTGGAAAGTCCGGTCAAAAAGGGGATCCGAGTGTCCAGTCAGATCTATTGACCGGACACCCATAGTCCAGTTACTGTGGGTGGGGGAGGCAGGGAGGTGCTAGGCTATCCCCCTTGTCAGCCCCTACTCAGCCAGGGCTGCCTCCTACCTGCATCAGGTGGCTGCAGCTCCCTGCTCTGCAGAGGGAGACAGGGGAGAGGAGGGAAAGAGGAGTGATTGTTGGGCAGGGCCTTTGGAGAAGAGGGAGGGGAGGGGTGAGGCCTGGGGGGAAGGGGTGGGTCCTCAGGGAGAAGAGGTTCCAGCACTCTTGCTGGAGTGTCCCGTTTTTAAATATTACAAAGTTGGCAACCCTAAGCCTAAATACTTTTAGGAATCTGGGCCCAGGTGCTTCCCTCCCATAAGGCTCAAACAGCAATTTACCAGGCACAGTGCACTGGACTTACACTTCTGTTATAACTTAGAAGTTCTTACACCGCATTCATCATTGTAATAGCAGGGTGCCTTCCAGTCGCGCATTAAGCCACCTAACAGCTACCACCTGTAGTTTGTTCCTGAGCTTTGAAATTCAAGTCCTCGGTTCCCCAGAGCCAGGTAAATATTATCTGCATTGTACAGGTGAGGAAACAAGTGAACTGCCTTATGCAATATAGGGAGTACAGGAGATACGAGAGACTGAATTCACTGCTATATAACTATTAAAGTTAGTAGAATGGCACCTGCTCATGGCAGCTGTACAGGTATATAATTCTTCTAAGACCCTAGCAAGAACAAAGAGCAAAACTAGCCAAAGTTCTACTAAATATAGCACAAGAAATCTTTACCTTGTTTTCTAATCATACAAAGGAGATGTTCTTGTTTAATCAGAACAGATCAAGTTTATTAATTTTATTTAACTAGTCTCTGCAAATCATTAAAATTGCTACTTCTGAGGTTTCAGCCAATCATTTACCTTGGTTGGGAATTTCTACAAAGGAAAAAACCCAAGCTTTACAGGATCATACCATTCCAAAAGCAATCCTGTTAGGCATACATGCTGCACTGTTCAACAGATCTTCACACATAAGGCTAGAACTTCTAGCCTAGATGATACCATTGAACAGAAGAACAGCCATACTGGGTCAGACCAATTGTCCAGTTAGCCCAGTAGCTTGTCTTGACTGCAGCTGGTGCCAGATACTTCAGAGGGAATGAACAGAACAGGGTAATTTCTAGTGATCCATCCCCCATCATCCACTCCCAGCTTCTGCCGATTGGTTTATTGACACCCAGTGATGAGGTTGCATTCCTGACCATCTTGGCTAACAGGTTTTGATGGACCCATTGTCCCTGAACTTGCCCAGTTCTATTCTGACCCATTTATACTTCAAGAAAGGAATTAGAGTTTACAGAGGATAGGTCCATTAATTGAGATCATCTAGTAGTCCAGCCTCCAGCATAACAAGCCATAAGACTTCCCTGAACTAACCCATTTGAACACGAGTATTTTTTACAAAAACATCCAATTGTAATTTTAAAATGTTCACCGGGGAGACCATCCTGAGCCTGGGTAAGGTTTTTCCAAAGGTTAATTACCCTCACCTGACCTGTTAAACATTTACACCTTATTTCCAGTCTGAGTTTGTCTAGTTTCAGCTTCATAGAAATGTAGGACTACAAGGGACAATGAGAAGTTGAAGTCCAGCCTCCCAGTGCTGAGGCAGTACCAAATAAACCCAGATTAATCCTGACACGTGTTTGTCCAACCGGTTCTTAAAACATCCAACAGGGATCCCCCATTCTCCACTGGAAGCCATTGGAGATTAATTACCCTCATTGTTAGAATTTTTTCCCCCAATAGCTAACCTAAATCTTCCTTGCTGCAAATTAAGCCCATTACTTGTGGTCCTACCTCCAGTGGACATGGAGAACAATTGATCCCTGTCCTCTGTAGAACAGCCCTGAACATAGTTGAAGACTGTTTTCAGGTCCCCCCTCAGTCATCTTTTCTAAACATGCCCAGTTTTTTTTACGCTTTCTTCATAGCTCAGGTTTTCTAAACCTCTTATCATTTTTGTCGCTCTCCTCTGGACTCTCTCTAATTTGTCCACATCTTGAAGGGTGCTACTCAGAATTAGAGACAGTGCTCCAGCTGCGGCCTCATCAGTGCTGAGCAGAGCAGAACAATTACCTCCCATGTTTTACATACAACACTCCTCTTACTATGCCCCAGGATCTTAGCCTTTTTTGCAACTGGATCACCTGTTGATGTGTATTCTGGTTGTGATCCATTACAACCCCCGTCTCCTTTTCAGCAGTGCTACCGCCTAGCCAGTTATTCCCCATTGGGTAGTTGCACGTTTGATTTTCCTTCCTAAGTGAAGTACTTGGCACTTGTCTTCATTGAATTTCATCTGGTTGATTTCAGATCAATTCTCCAATTTGCCAAGCTAATTTTGAATTCTGATCTTACCCTCCAAAGTGCTCGCAGCACTTCTCAGCTTGGCATCATCTGCAGGTGTTATAAGCCCGCAGAGCTTTGTTTCAGAAGATGGAGTGCATCTACTTTTACACTTGGATATAAGAGCACCAAAGGAGTCCCTGCAAGGGAGTGTTTACTGTCACCACGAGGCCCTGCAGGAGCTGAGACCCATCGACTGAAGTGTACCTGCCTCTTATCGTCACTGCATTCTGACCCCATCCTACATGTTAGTCCCACCTCTGCTGCTTCCCAGAGCTCTCCCTGCACCTAGGTCTCTTTTCTGAGCCTTCCCTGAAACTCCTGTGCCAGAGCTCAATAAGGAGCATTTAGTACTTAGAGACTAGTAGCAGAGGGGTAGCCGTGTTAGTCTGGAGCTGTAAAAAGCAACAGTCTCCCCTGTGGCACCTTATAGACTAACAGACGTATTGGAGCATGAGCTTTCGTGATGAAGTGGGTATTCACCCACGAAAGCTCATGCTCCAATACGTCTGTTAGTCTGTAAGGTGCTACAGGACTCTGTCGCTTGTTACTTCGAGACTGTCATTCATTCAGTGGATCATGAGGATACCTGCTGAGTAACACAAATGTATCAATCATTGATCAGATAGGTTTCCACAACTGGATTTCAGTTCGCAATTACTTCCTGACCTAAGAGAGTCAAGGGCATCAACACGCCCTTCCCGAAGCGTCCCTCCACAGCTAACTTTGCTCTCAAATACACAAGCTCTCCAGCAAAAGCAAACATGAAGCCCAGAGGTGTTGAACACCCCCATTCCCACATTGAAATCAATAGATGCAAGTGCTTGGCAATTCAATTCAATACAGAAGCTATATAATTTCCCAAGAGCCCCACACACCTCCATGGCAAGATCAACATGAAGCGCTCATTTAGGTAACAGAGAAACTACATTTATGAAGTTTGCGGACAATACCAAGCTGGGAGGGGTTGCAAGTGCTTTGGAGGACAGGATTAGAATTCAAAATGGTCTTGATAAACTGGAGAAATGGTCTGAAGTAAGTAGGATGCATTTCTCCATACTGAATTTCAAAGTACTGTACTTAGGAAGGAACAATCAATTGCAGATATAAAATGGGAAATGACTGCCTAGGAAGGAGTACTGCAGAAAAAGATCTGAGTGTTATAGTGGATTATCAACTACATATGAATCAATAAAAAAAGAACAGGAGTACTTGTGGCACCTTAGAGACTAACAAATTTATTAGAGCATAAGCTTTCGTGGACTACAGCCCACTTCATCGGATGCATAGAAAGCTTATGCTCTAATAAATTTGTTAGTCTCTAAGGTGCCACAAGTACTCCTGTTCTTTTTGCGGATACAGACTAACACGGTTACCACTCTGAAACCTGTCATATGAATCAATGTAACACTGTTGCAAAAAAAGGAGACATCATTCTGGGATGTATTAGCAGGAGTGTTATAAACAAGACATGAGAAGTAATTCTTCCGCTCTACTCAGCCCTGACAAGGCCTCAGCTGGAGTATTGCGTCTAGTTCTGGGCACCGCGCTTTGGGAAAGATGTGAACAAACGGAAAAAGTCCAGAGACCAGCAACAAAAATGATTAAAGGTCTAGAAAAACCTATGAGGAAAGACTGAAAATATTTGGTTTGTCTAGTCTGGAAAAGAGAAAACGGAGGGGGGAACGTGGTAAGTCTTTTCATAAAAGGCTGTTATAAAGAGATGAGTGATAAATTGCTCTCCTTAATCACTGAGGACAGAACAAGAAGTAATGGGCTTAAACTAGTGCAGGGGAGACTTAGATTAGACATTAGGAAAAAATCCTTCCTAACTGTAAGGGAAGTTAAGCACTGGAACAAGTTACCTAGGGAGGTTGTGGAATCTCCATCATTGGAGGGTTTTTAAGAACCAGTTAAACACCTGTTAGGAATGGTCTAAATAATACTTAATCCTGCCTCAGTGCAGAGGACTGGACTAGATGACCTATCAAGGTCCCTTCCAGACCTACATTTCTACAAAATCCTTTTGGTTCCGCTGTCAGTACACTAGCCTAGTATGGACGCAGGGGTAAGTTAACTGCACAGGAATTATGAGGAGGTCCCAAGAGAAGTCTTTTAAGAGGAGTTTTTTTAATATAGCAGCACTGCTTCTAGGTTAGGCTATTTCAACTGATAACATTACTTCTCAATAAGAATGGCTATACTGGGTCAGACCAA